TAGGTGACAACTCATTGTCTAAATGCATTACATGCATTTCGCCTAACCCTATTTCTAAGACCATGTGGTCAAGTGTCGCACATTCAAACCCCATAATTTTAGTTGAGTAAGACCTACCAATAACTCAAACGTGCTCTTGTAAAAGTTTGACCTTGAGTGATTCAACAAGTTTTCAATTAAAAAGGTTGCCTCGTTATCTTGCTATATGGTTGAAGGTAACTTAATCATGCGAAGCATGTGACTCAATATTTTAATGAGGGATTTTTGTTGTTGCTTTTATCTTGTTATTTAGGTCTTATCGAATTTGGCATGCATGGCATTTATAATATTGCATAAAAAAAATCTATCGCATGCATACTACTAGTATGATTATGGACTTTTATCTAATTTAATTTTCTTGAGCCATCGAAGGAAATTAGTTGGGTAAATCCTAAGGGATTACATACAAATATCACCATATCTTGTAGTCTTGTAATCTTCATGTCTCTTTGGCGTCTTCGTAGTTCATTCTTGGGATTACAAAATTTTCGTTCTAGTATAAAACTATGAATTCTAATTACATATATGTAAAGAAACCTCAAGTTACATTTGAGGGGAGTGAGATGAGAAAAGAAATTTACAACTCTTGAATAAAATAGAAAAAAGATAAGGTAGACACTCCCTATTTATAAAATAAATGCCAAATACATTCAACCGTAACAATTCATAACACATTATAGTGGTCTAAGTCCATAATTGTCCTTATACATTCATAATCATATAATGAGCATATAAAACTTATTTTTAATTCAAATTGAAGATCTTATATATCATTTGGCAATAATATTACTCAACCTTTAAAGATATTAATCAAATAATTTGATGTCCTAATCCCATTACAAGTCTTATGCCAATTTAGCAGTCTTAGTCCTACTAGGAATTAAATTAAGCATAGACTTTGTAATCCTAAACCTTGTAAGACAATGAATTTAAATTTGACACTTATTCTCAATAGAAGTCCTAATCATATTAGAAATTTAATATTCACAAATAATCCTAATCCAATTAGGCTTTTTAATCTTATTAGAAAATTTAATCCTTGTTGTCAATTTTTACAATTCTAGTCCAACTATAATTAGATCTTTACGGCCAAAAGTCTTATTTCTTTGCCAATTTGATTTTAAAATCTTATTGAGGGCAATCCTAAACTTTTTAAGATATATTCCATTACAATTATGAGTCTAATTCCCTGTCATAACCAAATTAGTATAATTCTTAATTATATAGAGAAGGAATCGCACAAGCTAATGTAATTTTATTGGGTTTGCATTAGCTATGCTGTCCCAATTTCTTTGAAGCTCCATCCTCCATTGTTTTCTACAATTTTGGCACTAATTTAGAGATATCTCATGCCCTAAATATCATGCCAAAAAGCTCTCAAAACCTCAGCAAATTCATAATACAAGTAGCCATGATTTTGCAAGAGTCCTTGTCACACAAGAATACAATTCAAAAAAATTGTTTGTGCAGAAACATCATTAGATCTCCACCCAAATGAGATAAATTTTGAGAGATTAAGATCATCCTCTTGACCTTTGATCCTCCAAAAATCACGCATGAACTCCTTCTCTAGGTCCTTCAAAAAAATTTCCAAATCAGATCATGCTATGTTGCTAGATTTTTCAGATTTGGATTCTTTTAAAACAAATCTATCAAATCTTTAAAGACTTATTAAATCTAGATTTTAAGTTCATAAATCAAAACTTTAATGGCCTTTTGAAATATAAGTTAGTCTTGAAAAAATCCATTCATAATTATTCTAAATAACTTTTAAAACTTTGCATCAAATCGACATATAAACAAAATAGTTTTTGTAATCTTCAACAACTAAATATAAAACTAGATTAGATCCATTAAAAGAAGGTCTGATACCACTGTTGGGGATTTAAATCATGTTAAGATGACTCAGATGTAGCAGAATATCATTAAAATTTTAATTCTCTAAGCCATGGATCACTTTAATTGAAACTAATCTAGAATAACTATAAAGAGAGATTTTGATATACTTGAAAGTCTGCTTTATTTGGTGGAGTCTTCTTTAGCTTTTTATTTTTAACTTTTGTACACCAATTAGGACTTATCAAATCATAACAACACAGTTGTCCTGCCTCTAATAGTGATCCACACAATGATTTGTTGAAATATCTTCACTAAGAGTGCATGAGTCCCCAAGCTAAAGTTTGTGTTACCAAACTCTCAATTTTGAGCTCTCTTGTGTTTCTCTCTTTTTTACTGTGATCCTATCTTAACACATAAGAAAATAAAATAGAATTCTTCTATATATTCAAAAGGTGGCTAAGGGATTCTTTTATAGAGTGAATAGACCTACTTTATATCTAACGAGGCTTATAAAATGTCTTGGGCTAATTGGACCTTTACTTAATACTCCATCAAATCATATTTGATTTAGGTCAATGCTTAATTGGATTAAACCTCTATAAAATCAATTAGATCACATCCAGTTGAAGTCAAATTAATATCGACAATTTACCTTATATGTGTGACCCATTAGGTTCCTAATATATTGGTAATAAATATATATTAATTCAATTAAGAATTTATATTTATATTTATAAATTATGAGGGACATCTAGCAATACACCATGACCACCCAAATGTCAGGAGAGTTAATATGATTTGATTAATTTTTTAGTGTATAGTATCTCAATGTAATTCGATATTTTCATCATATATCCCAGATAGATAAAAAGCTTAGCTCGGTGCCTACTTTCTAACTTATCCATATTAGTCTTGCAGCTTCTATATTGACTTATCAAGACTACGTTGACTAAGGATTTTTAATCGATATAAGCTAGAAGCAAATGAGATATGTCCCCTTCAAATCACTTCGGGTGATGAATCCTCTTTGAACTACTCATTCATTTTTGTATGCTTCATGCCACACCCAAAAGCACCTTATTTAAGCATCTAGTCATCTTCAGACTCATAGAGGTGAAATCAAAGTATGATAATTTACATACAAGATGACTTGGTATCATAAGTCTAAAGATTACTACACTATTGACATATGAGAGTATTTCCATAGACACTTGAATGAAATACCAAATGAAACTCTTATAGCGGGTCATGTTCGTTGAACTTGTTCCTTAACAAGTATCCACATACTAGCCTTAAGTAACTCACATATTTCAATGTATGAGATCAATTGCTTACTTCCAAAGTAAAAAAGCTTAATATGTATGAGTCTTTGAGCGTTATCAATGCCCTTATTCTTAACAATACAATGACTAGGAATATATTTAGGAACAAGGCTTTGATGCATAAGAATCTCATAATTATAACTTTTATAATTTCTTTGCAAGGCTATTATGTTTCAAGGACTTTATCTACATAAATCTCTCACAACTCTTTATAAATAAACTCATGGATAAAGAAATACCTCATTCATCATATAAATTATTCATAATGTATTTAATATGAAATATGACTAATTAATGTAGTGTTTTACTGTTACAAAATCGATTGACTTGTAAGGCTTGCAATGACAATGGTAGGATAATTATGCTTTAATGCTTTATCCAAATCTGTAGTGGCTTAATGTTTGCATATGTCACATGGTGTATCCACATGTTATACTTTTCAAGATAGCTTCAATGCTACCTTAACACTGTATTTATCAGTGATTTATATATAAATAACTCTACTTTTGGCTAAGAAAAAAAACATTTTTTTCTTTTTTTTTTTCGTTCTTTCTCTCTCTTCCCATTTTTGCCTCTTTCCTTCCCTCTCTAAATTCTCCTTTTTAATTCTCTAAATTTTTATTGAAAACATTAATATTTTAATATTTTAATCACAATAATATTTAAATTATATATAAAATTTTATTTTATTTTTGAAGGGAAAGCAGCAAAACTATTTAATCAGCAAAAGCAGAATATACGAGCAAGATTAAATACCAAAGTCTCCATTTTCCCATCAAACATTCACATAGAGCCAAAATGCCAAAAACCCTCAAAATGGAACACTCTGCCTTTTATTCTGGAAAATGGCTACCCTTTTAGAGGAACTTAGAGATCACTAACATAAGGGAGAATAATAAGAAAAAAAAATTTAACACCAATCTAAATGGTTACCCTAGTGCTAATCCTCTTGATCTGAACAACTATAAGACAAATAGTCTTAGACCTGAACGTCGCAGAACTATTCGAGTGTACCACCTGGATCAAACAACTCACCAGCGTAGCACACGCATTACTACAAGACTGACTAGAAAGGGGATAGCTAATTACATGATATCACAGTGACCCTTTACATGATGTGCTCCATAGCCCAAGTATGCACCTAACTTCCTACCAAAAGAAACCTAAAAGCACACAGGCCATGAAAGGCACACTCAAGCATCCAATACTTCAATCAACTGGACAACAAACCAGGCATGCTATCCATCACTTGCGTCGTGCTGAATTTGTATGCAGGTGGGCCTTGCTGTCAATCTTTATTCTATCAGCATACATGGGCAAGCGAATGATCTCCTTAATCTCGTTTAACAAGATTTCCTCTGTGATATTATCCTCCATACTTCGCTTAACCTTCTTGAAAGTGTTGAAATCATTGGGAGTCGACTTATCTGTCCTGATCCTCATATAGATCCACACATGTTGATCAGGATCCCAACAACACTCGATAATCTTCCCAGAGAATGAACAAGGAGGATCTGAAACATATCTGAATTCAACTCTATTCCCTTCCATCAACTTCTTTCTCCCCTGTTGGTAGAGAAAAAGTTGTTCACGACTATCACTACCAATCTCAAATAAAAAGTCAACAGAGTTCAACTGAGCATATTTCCACTTCAGAAGACCTTCATGAGTGCGAGGTACATAAGGATCGTCCCAGCCCTGAAAAATAAGACCATCTGCCTTATGAGAGAGCCTGGGGATAAATTCCTTCAAAACCTTATTTACAGCAGAGAGCAACCAAAAGTCCTTCCTCCGCACTCTGAAGGGTTCAAGGTCATATCGGTAATAAGGATTCCTGCTCTGGTAAATGTTCTGGCGTTCATAATTTCGAGGCTCAATCACTTCCATTTCAAGCATTTTCCATCGTTCACAGAAAGGCCACTGTATTAAAGAACCAACGTGGTTTAGTGCCATCATATCATAGATGAGGTATCTTCTCTCTTGCTTATGAGAGTCTGGCATGGTATCTATTACCATCTCCCCATCAAGCAATGTGAAATGATGAGTTCTGTCCCCTATACCTTTAGGTGGGTGTTGACCCGGAAACCTCATCTGAACCCTTCGGAAATTAAAACTCCTATCAATTAAGTAACATCCATCAACAGTTATTAACATCATATATCTTGTTCCATCCGCTTTCCAAGTGGTATAATAATAGCGTTGCCTTAAAAGTTGCAAACTGTCGCTGTTGAACGAAACTGGATGTGAACCAGGAAATTGCGAATGTCTTCTAACCCCAACATTTAACTCCAACATTTCGTAGCAGAATGACCGCAGTGATTCCTGCTGGTCATGAGGTATTTCATCTCCCAAAATGTCATCATTTGTCAACACGACATCCGTCTGCTGATTCTCATGTAATGCAGTTGGACCTCCACCATCATCATCATCTGCAACTGCTTCACCGTTGAGATCAATATCAGAAGATCTCTTCCACTCAGGAGTTGGCGGGCAGACAACCATTTCAGGCCTTCTTTCATGATAAAATGCATACAAGGCATCAATATAGTCCGGTTTGTAGATACCCGGAGGACGTGCCTCTGAAAAAATTTTTATTGCCTGAGTAACAGACATTGATCGTGAACGCATGAGATAGTGAACAATCATGTATCCAGTGCGATTATGCCCATGCGTACAATGGACAAGAATATATTTCTTTGACTTCTGACTTCGGAGGAATTTTGATACCTTGTAGACAAAGATATTTACAGAGACATTATCCGGTACGGCATCCCTTCCCCTGCATGGAATCTTTACATGCTCAATATTGCCTTCACTCTTAACGTCTGTAGTTCGATAGTAACGAGATGTGTTTGTCAAATCAATCACCAAACCAAGAGTTCTTCCTAAAACTCTTTGCTGATGAATCGCTTGTTCGAAAGAGTATCTTTTACCAGGAGGAACACAGTAATCGTAAGATTCACCAAGTGGAACCTTAGAAGGAATGATGCAGCCTATTTCCCGACCAACCGAAGGACAATCCAGCCAACCAGGAGGGATCCTATGTTTATCATAAACCCTGGGATTCCTGTTTTGATAAAAGTGACCCTGAATAGGAGGCTGAGAGACATGCACAGGCCGGTCATCTGGTTGGTCTCTTCTCAATCTCTTCCGTCTTTCTTCAACTGCAGACTCTACATGGTCTTCTGGTGCAGAGTAGTGTCCTATATGTCTTTCATACGTCTCTTCATCATCTTCAGGTGAAGGCGAAGCATTTAAGTCCATACTAGCAATCGTTCAGCATCTATAGAACACCATGAACTCATAACCAGAAACATGAAATCGACGACGAAGTTGCAGCAAAAAACGGCGATCCACTACGCCGCTAGAACAAACTGATTCCCTCCTCCGTTTCTTTTTCCCCAGGAATAAAAAAACAAATTGAAGCCTCTCGTGAATCCGATGAACACAATAAAACTCGTTGTGTAAATCGCAAGTACCCCTACAAGTAGGGTGGGTTGCCCCTCCCGTTTCTCTATAAGTTTCCCTTCGAAACCCTAGAGAGAGAAAGTTGATGGTTTTTTTTTTCTTAAAAGAAGAGCGAGAGAGTGAGTAGAAGTTAATAAATCACTCCCAAGTAAGGAGAGAGAGAGAGAGAGAGAGAGAGACAGAGTGGTGCACGGAGGAGCAGAGAAATTTCAGGATTCGGAGGCTTAATATTTTAACAATGTTCATATTTAAAGTATAAATAAATATTGTATTTCAAATTTTAAATTTATCATTAAAATTTATATTATTTAAATAAAGTATTAATATTTAAAAATTAAATAAAATGATTATATTAATAGCTCTTCAAAAATCTGTTGCTGTTGTAGGATAGTCTATAAACAGATCTCTTCTATTTGATGGATCAAACTATCCTTATTGGGGTACTAAAATATCCATTTATATTAGGTTTTATGACTATGAGATATGGGATGTCATTACTGATGGTCTTTTTATTCGAATGATTACAATTTCGGTAAATGGTGAGAAAACTCCCAAAGATATAAATAAGTGGACAGAAGCTGAAATGAGGAAAGTACAAATCAACTCTAAGGCCATGCACATTCTCATTTGTGCATGTGATTATGGAGAATACAATAAAGTGTTCATGTCCAAAAGTGTCAAGGAAATTTGGAGAAAATTAAAAGAGTTATATGGAGAAACAAAGAAGAAAAAGGAATTAGAAGACAAGTCTTGTGAGAATTAATGCTCAACAAGCAACATGGCAAATGCAAACAAGGAATCAAGTGAAGATGAATTCTCAAATCAAATTGAATTATGCCTCATGGCGTTTGAAGAGATAAAGGTAATTTCTTCATCTCGTGAACTTAATTTATATGCTTTTGATGATTTGCATGATGCTTTTGAGGATTTTGCATTTGAGTTTAAGAAAATGAATATGAAGCACAAGAAAATTATTTCCATACTCGATGTTGAATATGAATTTTTGATGAAAGCAAAAATTGACTTAGAAAAAGAAAATGAAAATTTGAAAAAGGATTTTGAAGCTTACCAAAAGAAAATTGATATTTTGGAAAAAGAAAATTTTGATGTGAAAAGGAAATTTGAAGATTTATTAAATGAGAAATAAAAGGCTTTCATGAATTCCTCATCTTCCAAAATGATAAAGGCAATCATTTCACATTTTATAGTTATTGTTCATACACTTTTCTAATTAGAAAATGTTATCTTATAAATTTAGACAAGTGTGGGTTCCAAAAGGAATTTTATAGGATGAGACTAACTTTCAAGGATCCAAAGCAATTTGGATAGCAAAGATCAAATGAAAAATGTCTCTTGTAAGTGTGCTAGAGTAATGAAGAATAATTCTTTAAGAATGAATGCTCTTTAGTCACACATAAAGGAAAATGGGAGATCTTTATGCTAAAAGCCTTTTATTTGTCTAAAGGAGAATTTTGATTGCTTATTTATTGAAAGTTTCATTCATTTAGCTTGGTTTCTAAAATTGTTTGCTTTTCTTAATTGAAAACTTTGGTTGTCTATTCTTTCTTGAATATTAAGTACATAATTCTTTGAGCTTTATTGATAAATCTTGACTATGCAACTTGATTTGATATGATACATGCTATAAGTTGCAAGGAAGTATGAATCTAAAAATTAAGTATGTACTTATATTTGATCTTGAATATATCCTCATTCTTATTTTAAGAAAATTATTTTATCAAGATTGCTTGATTATGGAAAGTTATTTCTATAAAATTTCCTCATGTTTTGTGAAATTATTTCCATACTTCTTCTTTGAGGAAAAATGATTTTTGAGCATAATTTTGAAACATAAAAAGTTGATAATGTGATAAAAATATGAGCATACTTGATGACTTGCACTCACACTTATTTAAGAAGCCTAAGATAAGGAAAATTGAGTTAAAAAAAATTATCCTTGATTTCCTTGTGCCTAACATAAGTCGACCATTTGAACAATCTTGATTTACATTTTAAAACTTGTTTGAATAGTTTAAGATGGTTGATAATGAGCTTGAAAGTTTTGACTACTTTAATTAGTACTTTTAAAGCAAAATGAGCTTATATGAGAAAAATGTTGCCATCCTTTAAGTTTAGAATGATTTATGAATTGAACAAGTTTGTTTCATAATGAAAATACTTATGACTTGTTCTTATTGGATGCGCATGCTTGCTTGTAAGCTTGAATGATTATAAGGGCATTTTTGACACATGATTATGAGATATTTGCAAATGACCTTTGACATGCATAAACATTATTCATTATGCTCATTACACATTTCATAAAT